GGGAGCGCTGCCGCGCTTCCCAAGCGGCGCACTATCCATTGCGCCACCGGGCCGGCCCGAAGCAACTTTATTTTAATCAAACTGCTTCTTCCATCCTGCACAGAGAGCAGGTCCTTTCCTTTTGCTTGATAGACATCTTAGGAAAATTTCATAGCTTTTCTTGGTCCCTTGAATCCCAGAAAGGATCTCATTCCAGTTATTAAAGTTTCCAGTCCAGTGAAATAATCAAAGCTTCTAACTATATTAGATGTGAACTTCTCACTTGCTTTAGGCCTGGAAGCCTTCATTGGGTGGAGCCTTACCTGTCAGGGGCTTCCCTTCCTGCCTATTTCTTCTACTCAAGGACACCTCTCAGGTCTGGCTGATGGGACGGGATGGGGGGAAAAGGCATGGAGGTAAGTGGCCCTTGCTCTCTTGACCTACACTGGTGCCCCTGGGCTTGGAGAACATTGGAAATTGACTCCTTCTCTCCTCGGGCACTTTTGTAATTGTTTCCAGGGATCTCCAAGTGCAGCTCACTGGAAGCAGGCAAACTTCTCCTGACTGACAGAACTCCTCTACCTGAGCTTTGGGTATCTGTGATCTTGTGCTGGATTTCTTTGCACCCTCCTCCCCTCTCCTACCTCAGGCAGCCTTTTTTAACAGGGCCCTGGCAGATTCTCTCCAGCGGCTATCACAGGTAGACTCACACACTCACACATCCTCGGCCACCGCCATCCCTGCACCAATGTCAGCTTGCTCCCTCTCTCTTTCTGCTCTGCCATATCAGGCACGGCCTCTCACATTCAGGTTCTCAGACATGTGCCATATACTGTTGACCCCGTGTCTTCTAAATTATAGGACACACATATTAATCTTTCTGAGTGGCTCCCTTGAAACCACTCTTAAGTGGGGACTAAACTCACAACTAAATAAGTCCTCTTTCAACTCTTCAGCCCCTAGTCTTCCAGAACATAACCACTTGTACTGGTTTAACCTAGCTTAAAGTCTCTTTGCAGGTTCTGCCTAGGTGGTCTAGCCTCTTGCTTTAGGACATGTGGTTCCCGCCAACTGTTAGAACACTCTTAAAACTCTATGACAACAGAAAGAGACATTCACTCATCTTCCTGCGACATCCGGCATTACACCTGGCACTTGAAAGTATGGAGGCTCCATTCTGGTACTGCCCTCCTTCTCTTTACACCTGGGACCTTGGGTGAGTCATTTAGGATCGTAAGTCTAAGATTAGAACTAGAGTAATTATATCTTTCTTGCCAACTTTATAGCCTTGTTGTGAAGAACAAGAAACAAGATGAATGGGCCAGTGCTTTATACACAAAAAGTCTATAGAGAAAAAAATGTAACTTACTATTAAGATATGAGAATAGCAGTTTCATCACAAATAGTAATTGCTCTGGCTATTTTCCTTCCTATCTAATACATACTCCTAAACTAGTAGAGGAAGGACAGGTTTTCAATGGCCATCAACAAAAAGACATAGAAAAGGTAAATATTACTCTTTACACATTCTCCATTAAACCTGAGTCTTGTCCACTGTAATGCATAGAATGTAGGGGAAAGAATAACTGAGGTTCCTACACCACATATTTCACTTCATCTCACTTCTTCCCACAGC